TGATAGTCATTCAGATTACTACACAACATCTGTCTCTGTAGATGTCTTTCCCCAGTACCCTATAAAAGCAGGGTTAACTCACTGATAATACCAACAGAGAGAGGAAAAGTGACCTCAGAAGGGAAACTGAGACTGGATCAAGGTGATCTTGCCAATGCAAAGCTGGAATGAACAGTCTTCCGTGACTTAGTGAGGTTCTCTATTGTCCCTGTCAGCATTCCCAGACACACAATGCCTCAGTACTTTCTCACTGGCATTCGATTTTGCTAGCAAATGACTGATGTTCTCCAGGCTGGGGAGATGAATATTTTATTTATAAAATTACCCTGTTTTTGAGAGGGCATTTGGTATATACTATCACTCCTTCCCACCTCGTTTTTTTTTTTTTTTTTTGAGAGATCCTTTTCCTCACATTCACAGTAATTCAACAGATATAAATATAATGAATTAAATAAGCTTGAATTGATATTGGTTAATGTCTGCTAATGCTGTTCATTTTTTAAGTTTCTCGTATAACAATATAAGGTAAAATCCCCTCCCCCCCACCCCACCCCCGAAGTTTGTGGGAAGAGGAAGGGGAAAAAAAGGGGCTGGTGAAAAGAAGAAGAAGGCGAACTATAAGAGGAATTACAATGGGCAAGCGATCTGAAGGGCAGCTGTGGCTCACACTGACATCATCTCATGAGCTTAATATACAGACACCAAGAAAAAAAATAGACTTCGTTTTCTGCTGTTTTGGGAAGTTGTTTAATTGTTTTCTTTCCCTTCTAAGCCCTTCCACCCTGGTTTATGTATACATATATAATGTATCTTGCCTCTATCAAACTCAATCTAAATAGTCCTAGTTCCAAAATGAACTCCAAGGAGAAGTTTCAATCCCAAATCACACCTAGAGCCACATCTTACCATCTGGAGTTTCATGCTGTATTAAACACATTTAATTCTGGCCCTTTGGACTTTTTTCCTGGTCCCTCCCCAAACCCCTGCCAGCCTCAGTGCCAGACCGCCTCCCAGCCCCCTAATTTGTAGGGGTAATGAGAATGCTTCGTAATCTACACTCAAATATGAAATCTACAAGAAGCATAATCCCCATAGCTGGGGCTGGCGCTTTCTGAAAGAGCCTGTGTGCAGGCTACCCAACTGCTACCACGCTCGCGTGCTTCCACAGAAGCACGACTTGAACCACATTAATCTGCTTAATTTCTTTTGTGAATTCTTGCTTGGAAAGGAGGGAGGAGTGTCTGCGAAGACGCTCAGGAGTTGGTATGTATCCCTAAATCTTGTGAGGGAGGAGAGGTACTGTGAATCCCCAGGTTAAAAAACAAACGAATGAGCTTGTAAGTAAACCAAACCAGTCTGACTTGGTTTTCGGAATTAACTGCATCGCCCTCTTTAGAAACGAAGCAATGTGACATGTAAGGTTGGATGGCAAATTTGGGGTGTAAAGGCGACCCAACGAGGAATGAAGTTGGTGTCCTGTGCTGACCTGGAACAGAATCGAAATCTGTGCTGCCTTGCTGGGAATAGGTACTCGGACTCGCTAAAATTATAGTTTATTCACTTCTAAACCTCTCTCCTCCCTGGGCGACATTTAGCTGCCCCAGCGCATTGGTTCAGCAGCTGTTATTATATTCAAACCACAGCTTTAATGGGGATGGGGTAAATCGGATCTAAGGACACAGTAGTGGACTAAGATCTGGTTATAGAGAACACTACGCTAAATATTTTGCCCAGCTACCAAAAAAAGCAGATTTACCAATGGTAACTTTGACTGTAAGGCAAAATTCAGTCTATGAAAAATAAGTTGCCAGCTCTTTGCAACAGTAGCTTTGCATGGACTTATTTTTTTCTCCCATGTCCAGACGAGGTCGTCTATTGAATGAGGCTCTTTTATTTTGCATAGGGCAGGGGATTTGTGACCATGGTCCCCCCTTTTATTCCTCTCTCTATGGAAACCCAGATCATGGGGAGAAATATGCAAGCCTGAATAAAGAGAAGCCACAGAAAGGAGCGCTTGAGAGCGGCATCTGTTACACTTGGGAAGTTAGACTGACAGGAGAAAGCGAAGGAAACCTCTCCAGTAGGTTAGTTAGAACAGCAAGAAGATTTGACTATATGCAGATATATTCTCCAAAAAAATGCCTATATGCAATAGAAGATATGCCCAAATACCTATATGCTAAGAAGATGTGATTTACATGAATACAATATGAGGTATTCATATTCGTTGGAATTAATTTTTTAAGAAGGAAGGAAGGAAACTAGGAAGGAAGGAAGGAAGGAAGGAAGAGAATAAAGAAGACTGTTGGTTTTACTTCTGACAGAAGCTATTTTTAAATTAATACTGTAAAATAAGGGCATGAAAAACCTGTCTTTGGGTGTAGTCACACCCTCCTCCTTATTGCTCACCTCACAGCCTTAAGGCAAATGGTTTGAAACACTTTTGAGCTGCTGGCAAAACCCTTGGCCACAGCAGAGGCCACTGGCAAGAGAAAGGTTGATTGAAAGAACTCAGGCAGTCAAAATTGGAAAAGAAACCGCTTCTTCAAGCAAAAGACTTATCAATTGATAATTGCTTTAACCCCCTGAATGGCCAGATAAGATTAGCAACTCTTTTACTCAAACACAGCTGCAGATGATGGGGGGCGGGGGGGAGGGGAGGCGACTACCACCAATAACATGGCAATGATCATGATTTTTTTTTACTTTATGGTTTCTTCAATGTGTTTCCCTCCGACACAGCCTGGCCAATGGATCCTCAAACAAGCAGCCTAACAGGCACCTGAAAACTTTTAAATTTTATTTCTTTTGATTTTAAAGAATTACTACGTTCCTGAAATGGGAGATGCACACAGTTTGGCAGTAAAGAAATCACATTCCTTGGTAGAAAATTAAAGAGACAGAGAGAATCAATGCTAAATTAAATGTAGATAAATCTTTACAATAGAACCCAGAAAATAAAAACAACAATTTAAATGAAGGAAAAGGGAAAGAGGCATGGCAAATCATCCTCTCTGCCAACAACTACCAAGTGTTCATCCTGTTTTTCTTTTTAAGAGACAGAGTGCTACAGAGTGCGCAAGAGAATTCGGGAGAGAGCGCTCAAGGAGATGCCAGGTTTCCCTGCCTAATAAACAGTTTACATTTACCAATAAAAGCTCATATTGCTTTGTGCTCTCATAAGAAATCACTCATTTCACATGAAATAGATGCTCTTTAGCTATATTAATGTATGGCAGAATAAGCTCACCTTGTTTTTATTTTTTCTTATTTTCTTGCAATTTCTTCAGATCTGTCTTCTTAGAGAAACTAATGCCTTAATGACTTTCTGGTAGCTGCAAGCCTTCTTTTATTTCTGCTAAATATATGAAAATGTATGCAAATTTAAATCAAGCTTAACCTAGGAGCTCTTGCAATATATTTAATGGCATTTTAAACCAATAAGGGAACTCTTATGCTGTATTCTGTAAGAGCAAATAATTACACAGCCAGGTTACTTCCAAAATTATACAACAAAAAAGTCATTTTTTAACATCAGAAATATTGTTGGTTATCAGGTGATGCTTTTCCCTAGCTACAACAAACCCACAATCTTTTAATTTCACCCGACTCTGCCTATAATCAATGGCTTTGCTGGGGCTGTGGACTTGACTTTCCCTAACTTATAAAAGCTTAGGAGGAATGTAAGTCTTCTCTTTTCCTTCAACCAAAATGTCAAAACATTCCTGTCTTCCCAAACTGAAAGAAAATTCAAACTTAATACCAAACAGCCAGCTTGTGCTCTCTCCGGCTCCCTCACTCCCTCTCTCCCCCTCTCCCTCCCTCTCCTTCCTCCCTCTCGCCCTCCCTCTCCCCCTCCCTTTCTCTCTCTCTCTCTCTCTCTCTCTCTCTCTCTCTCTCTCTCTCTCTCCTCTCTCTCTCACTCTCACTCTCACTAAATGGTTACAATTTAATTCAAATTGTCTGGGATCTGGGATGGGCAACAGGACTGTGTCACAATCAATTTTCCTAGGGAAAACCATAGGGCAAGTTTATCAAGAAAGTTTTCCTGTACACCGATTGAGAGTCTGTGGTGAGTGCAAGGAGGGCAGTCCACTTCAGCAAGCTTTGTTCCTGAGGGAAGTTGTGTGGCTGCTGGTGGGATCTGACGTGGAGTAGTAATAAAAAGTAGGTCTTCCATGTGACCAATTGGATTGGGAGACAAACCTCAAAATGATTGGAATTTACCAGTTGCACATTAGATATTATTTTTCTGGAATTCCTCCTCCTTCATGTCCTCAATAAAAAATTTCAGAAGAAATTGGCTTCTCTTTCTTTGTTAATTTCTGACCTTGGTATAAGTTTGTTACAAATGGTAAGATGAATTAATAAATCTTAATATTTATTATTGGAAGCATTGGCTTCAGTCTCAGGTTCAAGTTCCTATTAAAGATTGTCCTTTGCTTGAAGTTTGCAGTGAGGTTTCTTTTTGCAGTTCCCCCTATACAACTAACATCTGAAGACTCTGAGGAAAATCCTTATTCACTAAATCTAGACATTTAAACTGCTTATATTATTTTCATCATACATATATTTTTCTTTCTCTAGGCTAATTAAAATAATCTAAAAGGAGTTGTAAAATCAGCTTGCTCCTGAGCCCCTACTCTCCCTCCAATACACACACACACACACACACACACACAGGCATCCCTCTCCCTCTCATCCTTCCCCCTCCAGTACAAACACCCTTGAAGTGGGGAGGGTGATGGAGAGGGCTAACCAAATATGCTGCTGCCACTCAGCGCTCAGCAACCAATGAAACCAAAAGATTTGATTCACTTCCTGCTTGAGTCTCACTGAAACTCTCTAGCTTCACCAGCCTACTTTGAAAGAGAGCCCGTCCTCCCGCGCAGTCATTGGTGAAACTCGAGGCAGGCCAGGCAGAGACGCTCTGCTATTGGAAGCAGCGGGTGTCTGTAACTCTCTCTCGCGCGGCTTTGGCTCCCCCGCGCCGTAGATGTCAAAGGCTGAAGCTGCTCCCTTTGCCACATTATAACAAGTAGGGGATCCTCACCGACTATGGCCACAGCTGCCTCGAATCCCTACAGCATTCTCAGTTCCAGCTCCCTTGTGCATGCGGACTCTGCGAGCATGCAGCAGGGGAGTCCTTTCCGAAACCCACAGAAACTTCTCCAAAGTGATTACTTGCAGGGAGTTCCTAGCAATGGGCATCCTTTAGGGCATCACTGGGTGACCAGTCTGAGCGATGGAGGCCCATGGTCCTCCACACTAGCCTCCAGTCCCCTGGACCAGCAGGATGTGAAACCCGGGCGTGAAGATCTGCAACTGGGCGCGATCATCCATCACCGTTCACCGCACGTCGCTCATCACTCTCCTCACACAAACCACCCGAATGCCTGGGGGGCAAGCCCGGGTCCGAACCCGTCCATCACGTCCAGCGGCCAACCCCTGAACGTGTACTCGCAGTCTGGCTTCACTGTGAGCGGCATGCTTGAGCATGGGGGCCTCACCCCACCGCCGGCCTCCGCCTCAGCACAGAGCCTACATCCAGTGCTCCGGGAGCCCCCAGACCATAGCGATCTAGGCTCTCACCACTGCCAAGACCACTCGGATGAGGAGACACCAACCTCGGATGAATTGGAACAGTTCGCCAAACAGTTCAAACAAAGAAGAATCAAGTTGGGTTTCACGCAGGCCGACGTGGGGTTGGCGCTGGGCACATTGTATGGCAACGTGTTTTCACAGACCACCATCTGCAGATTCGAGGCCTTGCAACTGAGCTTCAAGAACATGTGCAAACTAAAGCCTTTGCTAAACAAGTGGCTGGAGGAAGCTGATTCATCTACAGGGAGTCCGACTAGCATTGACAAGATTGCAGCGCAGGGACGAAAGCGCAAGAAGCGAACCTCCATTGAGGTGAGTGTCAAGGGCGTTCTGGAGACTCATTTCCTCAAGTGTCCCAAGCCTGCAGCGCAGGAGATTTCCTCGCTGGCAGACAGCCTCCAGTTGGAGAAAGAAGTGGTGCGTGTCTGGTTCTGTAATCGAAGACAGAAAGAAAAAAGAATGACTCCTCCAGGGGATCAGCAGCCGCATGAGGTTTATTCTCACACGGTGAAAACAGACACGTCCTGCCATGATCTCTGACTGCAGGAAGCGAGAAAGCAGCCGGCCCCACTGGGAGCAGCGCGCAGTTATTTTTCTGTCTCACTCTCTTTCACTCTAGCTTTATTTGTTTTCTCTCTCTCTCTCTCTCTCTCTCTCTCTCTCTCTCTCTCTCTCTGTCTGTCTGACTCAAAACAGGTGATTCTAACTCACATTAAGAAAGGAAACTCTACACACATTCTCTCTCTCTCTGTCTCTCTCTGTCTCTCTGTCTCTCTGTCTCTCTCTGTCTCTCTGTCTCTGTCTCTGTCTCTCTCTCTCTCTCTCTCTCTCTCTCTCTCTCTCTCTCTCACACACACACACACACACACACACCCCACAGTCATTCAGGCCTCCCCAATGCTGATATACAGTCGCATTAAGCAGTCCAGGCTAGGACCTCACAGTCCCTGCCGCCCAGGCAAGTTTCCTCCAACCTTTTCTGCTGACCAATACATATTGTTTACTTTGAGAAAGATTTGTTTCGTTGCTCCTCTCTAGGAAGAGTAAGGAGTGGGGTAACATGGGGGCGGGGTAGAGATGAGGGAGGTGGGGGTGGGAAGACAGATGTGTGCCTCTGAATAACCTTTCAGCGCCTTGGTTATAGCAGCTGTATTTCAGGTGAAATCTGTTTTACAATAGACTAGTTTTGCATTTTTTAAACTTCTATAGCGTTTCTAAATGTCTGCGGCGTTTTACTACAAGCTGTACACAATATTTGTGAGATAATTTGTATCTAATGGACCACTCCACATTATTATTATTATTGCTATTATTATTATTCCTTCATCGAGCTGATGGTTTTTTAATTGCTTAGAAAAGGGAGAATAGTCTGGGAGGAGGGGAAGACATACCTACCCATTCACCCACTCCTATCCCAGATCTGTATGGAGAGAATAAAAATACATGGAGAGAGTTGATAGTTATATCGAAATTATATAGAGATATCTCTTTATATAATTTTCCTGGGGCGGAGTGCCTAGGACGGGTAGAATAGGCAAGTTCATTAGACTGGCAAACAAGCGCAAAGTTGGTGAGGCCATTTCGAATCATTCTGAGCTGCGCTGGGGAACTGTGGAGCCTCTGCAGTCTTCCTCAGCACAGATCTGGGTGTCTGAGAATGGTTTGGTCGGGACTCCAGGAGAAAAAGGTTGCCCTGAGGAGCGGAGAGGGATCCCCACCTACGGAACTCCAGACCGCTTGCACGCGGAGCGTCCACCAGCCCAGCGACTCGCCAGACAGACGACTAGCGCTTACCCACTAGCCCGCAATTGCTTACGCTGGAGACTTTGGCCCAGAGACGCTGGCTGCAGATTGTGTCAGCGCCTCCCAGTTTGGTTCAACTCCAGCTCACGGTCTGGTCCTTGAGTGAGAAAGCCGTAGGAGCGGTGGATAGGGGGTGGTGGACAGGCGCTTTCTACTCTGCAGAGCAAGAGTGAAAAGGCTGGCAAAGGTCACAGGGATTCCAGTCTAGGTGCGCAATCATCTCTTCTCCGGCGTAAATGCCGCTGTCTGTAAGTGGGTTCATGTGGAGCAGACTCGGAGCGTCTGGCAAGCACAACTGGTAGAAGCGCACTGCGACTATCAAGGTAGCTAGAGAGTGCCTGGGCGGCTGAGCTTCCTTCATTTTCCTTCCCTTTCCTTCCCTCTCCTTCCTTCTTTCCCTCTATCCTTTCTTAGTCCCTTCATTCTTTCTCCTTCCTTTCCTCCCTCCCTGCTTCCCCCTCCCATCCTCCCCCTCCCTCCCTCCCTTCCCTCCCTTTCTTCCTTCCTTCCTCTGTGTGTATGTGTACCTGTGTGTATGTGCCTGTGCGTGTAGTTAGCTGTGTGTATTATATTAATATTTACAAAAAACAAAAACTACAAAAAAAAAAAAACTCACTAGGCTTTGTAAAGATCCCAAAAATATGCAGTTGCTGTGGCTTTAGTTCTAGCCCTTATTCACAAGCCAGGTCCATAGGCACTCCTCAATCCCAAGGAGCACACTTGTGTGCTGTCAAAGGAGATTTGAACACCTCCACTGCCCAGCCACGGTACCTGGTTGGGGGTTGGGGGGACTCCTTTACTCCCAGGCAGGCTGGCTGCTGGCCTGGCTGCCTGTTTTTGGCCTCCTGGCTGGCTGCAGTAGACAAAGCTTCAAACTACCTAAGGACCAGAAGCCTAGGGCCTCCTTTTCTGGATGTACTAGTATGGGCTGCCAGGCCTCTGGTTTACCACATTGGTCTCCCCCAGATGCAGGTCAAGTGCTTGTATTAATTCAAATCTCAGACCCTTTTTCATTTTTGTCATGTCTCTGCATTCTGTGGGTAGTTGGGTTCTAGTTTCGTTTTTTTGTTCCCACATTAAGTTCATATTTTACAACTGTTAAGTTTTTTTTGGTTTAGATTTCTTAATATTTTTTTCTGCCAATAAGCTGTGCGGATCAAACCTAAGTTAACCCAAATATTTCTGCCGACTTTATAATTGTACAGTTTTGTATATTAAATGTTTTTGAAGTTATTAATTTAAAAAAGATCATTTAGTTTATTCATTTAGTAACTGATGTATAATAAACGCTATTTTCATTAAGAGTTGCTTTTTCAACTATTTTATTCAAATTGCCTATTGCAGTTGCCAGCAATTATTTATTTTCAATAAATTCTGCATTGTGTTAAAAATCCTTTCAAAGATGAGTTGGGTGTCAAAAGAAATACAATTTGTTGTAATGTTTGATGTGAACTGTTTTAGTCAAAGGGTTTCTATTGACACAATATTTTATTGTTGTAAGAGATTAAAAAGGTTTAAATAAAGACATTTTTCCAGAAAACTTTTTTAATGATTATTCTGGCTTTATTGTGTGGTGTATACACACAGTGAAGCACTCAAACAGTTACATTTTGGGGAAGTAGCTCACCTTTGGTTCAGGTTAGAAATCATCAGTCATTGTTTTGATTCTTGATTCTCTCCCTTTGACTTTTGGTCTTACCCAAATGAGAGGGAGAAAGAGAGAGATTATTATTGCTGATGGTCACACAAAACACACCCCAAATGATACAAATCTGTCTGGGGAAGGCAGTCCAGGCAGGTGTTTATTTCAGGAGGTGCAATCTTAGTAATATTCTCCAAAAGGAGTGTCTCTCTTTCCCTAGTCCAGCAGATAAACACTTCTCTGAGCCTGCACTCCTAAGCTGAACCCAGACCTTTGCTGAAGTTTTCATATCACCTTGCTGGCTGCAACCACTCTCTTCTTCCTTATTCTCTCCAGAACCTTTCTGAAAGGTGAGTCCATTCACTCTGATGAAGGGTGGGAAGATGATTATGTGTAAGAAGTGCTTTTATTTATTTTTAAAAATTTATTTACTCTTAAGACATGCTGGGCCCAGCAACTCTGGTAAACTGTTGACTTACTTAGTGGTACCCAGTTAGGCTAAATTCTATTTCTATCTAAGTTTGGGGAGGCAGGAATTATACATGGAGATATTTGGAAGTCCCATTTACTATAAACTTATTCCCACTCCTACATACCATTTTACGTCTATTATTTTATAAGAACCTCCATAAACCAAGGGAAAGCTCTTTGTAGTAATGGTTGAGGAATAAATTACTTATTCAGAATTAGTTATATTTTAAGGCTTTGTACATATATGCCTGCCTTAGCCAACTGTTTTAGTAGACTTTTCATGCAATGAATAATACATTTAGCTATAGATATCCAGCAGTAAATGTTTTCCCAATTACCAAAGTATTTTTGTGAGACAATTTATTTAATCACTTTAATAAGTATTATCGCATGTCATCTCTTGCAATTTTCAGATTGTCTAATGATTTATAACAGCATACTTCATAAAAATAGGGCTGTTGTATATGAAATATGCTGCACATTGAGTATATACTCATGGACATATCTCTTTATATAAATTATACTGACTTTATACAAATACAAAACCCGTAGTCTTAAACTTGTTGGTTCTCTTTCCGTTTATATAAATGAACTTCTTTCTCTGTAAAAATCCTATACAAATTTAAATTAATTAAACAGTTATAGTTTTTCTTAACCAAAGTATACAGAAACCAACTAACAGTAGTTCCTGAAATGATCAGTGGATTCATGAGCAAGGATTTTAGGAGATACTATTTAAATATATAAATACCAATTTTTGTCACTATCAATATTTTGCTATCTATTACTGAGATATATATATATGTATGTGTGTGTGTATTTATAGTACATATTTATGAGACTTGTTTCCTTTACTACCTCCTTTCTTTTTCTTAAAATACAACCAAGGCTTAGTTGGCCTTTATGGTGACCTCCTCATCAGCCTCCTTGTATCATTAGCATAATATTTTCATTAAAATTCAGACTAAGTTTGTTCCTCTGCCTGGGACTTTCTTGCTACTGAACTTGCCACTATCCAATTCCCAATCAAGTTCTCTATAAGAAATGGAAGCTTTAGTTTCAGTTTCTTTCAGGTGTATGTAGCAGTGTTTCTACCTCCCATAATAAAAACTGGTAAGTTCAAAGGAACAATAATATCCATATTTATGGGATGAAAGCAAAAAATTTAATTCACGTCACCTGATCAGAATAATAGAAAGTGGAGCAATTGTGGAAGGGATACTATGTGAAATAAACAAGTGTTCCCATGGTACACCTCTGTATACAAAGTCGAGTACCTAATCATGTGTATGTAGACATAAATTGATGATCTATATGGCTTTGGCTCTCTGCAATGGAAAACAAAAAGAGAATAATTACTAAACTCTAGCATGGATCTTTACAACAGTAAAAGAAGAGTAGTACACCTGAAAATTGGTTTCTTGGTTTTTTTTTGTTTTTTTTTTTTTTTTAAAGATTTATTTATTTATTTGTGCATACAGAACTGGGGTACAGGCCAGAGGCTCAGGGGCGGTGAGAGGCTTCACCAGAGACAGAGTGGGGAGCAGAACAGGCAGATCTACGAAGTACACTGCTGAGGGAAGCAGCGGGCGGGTCAGGAGAGGTCTGGCTCGCCATGTGGTCT